GTCCTGGGAGTAAATGTTCGATGTTAATTTTGTGGCTCCACCAACTGCATTTTCTCACCGTCGCTTACGTTTAATGTTCAAACCTTAGTAAAGTCCATGACTTCAAAATCTCTTTTTCAAAGAAAACAGATAGCATTTCCCCAAGTATATGATCGCCGCTGCACAATCTTCTTATCAGCCTCTCTCTAACTCTCTCTCTCTCTTTCTTTTTCTCTCTCTCTCTCTCATTCACTCACACTTTTTTTTATCCATTGCTATATCTCTTTATGTTACAAACTCCTCTGATCATTATATATATATATATATATATATATATATATATATATATATATATATATATATATAGTCATAATAGACATGACATGATAATTCTACAGATATAAATAACTGGAATTCGAGTTAGAAGACATCAACCAAAAATATCAAAATTCTTAAAGTTTAAAATCCGGAAATCGATAATTCTATGGTTCACACCAGCATGTTCTGCCTCTATAGCCCACGGGAGTCTCTATTTCCGGCTATACCAGCGTGACAGTTCCCATCACAACAGGACGTCTATTCGTGGCTGCACGTAATAAATCTAAACACGTTCTCGAAGAAGCTAAGTCTTTGTTTGATGAGAGAATGAGGCACTGTATTGTATCTATTAACTTTGCCTCTCATGATTACCGGCGGCTACGTAATAGTGTGTTAAATAAGAGTAATTTTTCTATTCCTCCTTTCTTCAATCAAATTGAAGTGTTATTATCCTCTGCTGATAAAGCTGAATGTTTCACCGTAAATTATCTTTAAACTCTATTGTTGACTAATCTGGATTATCCTTGCTTAACTGTCTACTTAGAACTGAGTCTCTGTTGAATGATATACATATAACCACTTCCATGATTTCTGCTATCACCTCTAATCCGGATCCCAACAAAGCAGGTGGACCTGATACTATCCATGTTATAGTCCTTAAGAAGTGTGTGCTCCCGACTAATTCCTCTTCCCTCTACTCTTTATAATAAATGCCTTGCTGCCTCTTGTTTTCCTGCCTTTTAAAAATCCTTATCCGTTAAGCCCTTCGAACTATCGGCCAACCTCTTTTTAGTAAACTACACGAGGCTCTGTGGAAGAGACGAAGGAGTAATAGATAGCGGCTCGGACTGAGGAATCGGAGAGCCGAGTTCGAATTCTTGTCGAATCCATTACATTCACTTACGTGCTAATACCCTTGGGAAAGGTATGTATACCCTTCTTCTGCCCCCCCCCAGCTATGGAGGTTGGGGGGGAAGAGGATTTAAATAGCAGGACAGACCGTGTTCTATAGTTTTGGATAGCAGAAATAAACGAAAGATACATGATCGCCTAAGCGTATATCACGCATGGAACATAACTGAATGATGGCAACTGGTCTACCGCAGAAAAAATGGCAATGTAATGCTGGAAAAGAATCTGCCTTGTCAGTCATGTATCGAAAGATACATGATCATCTAAGCCTGTTCAAGCATGACACATAACTGACTGACTGATTCGAGGCCCTAATCAATTCTGAACCAGTTAAGCATCTCACATCGCAGGGCTTTCTTTCAGACAAGCTTTAGTTTCTCTTGGTCAACTGGTGATGTATTAACGACCGTTGCGGAAAGAGTTTATCAATCCCTAGATGAGAATGGTGTAGACCAAGCTGTTGGTTTTGACATCTTGAAAGCGTTCGACAGGATTTTGCATACCTGTCTTCTTCACAAGCTGAAAAATTATGATTCAGTCTTTCTTATCAAATCGTGAAATGAAAATCATCCTGAACGGCCTATCATCTAGATCCTTTCGTCCTAATGTACCGAGGTCTCTACCCTAGGCTCTACATTGTTTTTAATTTTCATTAATGATCTTCTTGATAGTATCAGCTCTCAGCTTGGTATCTAGGCCGATGACACAACCATTTATACTGTCTCGATAGTAAATCTGATCATTTAGATAAGCTCAAATTTGCGACTGTCAAAACGACATACAGTCAGTTGTTAACTGGGGCAAAGAATGGCTTGTTAATTCTAACGCCTCTAAAATAAAACTGTTCTATATTAATCATTTGAAAGACCATGTTTTGTATCCCATCAGCATGGCTGATGGTAACCTCCAGGAGAGAGACTTTTTTCGGGTTAACAATCTCGGCGTACAGGAAATGGAAAGTCTATAATGAATCAGTCAGATGTTATAAAAGTGATGCCATTTCTAATACCGAAACAAACTTAAATATTGATAATTTAATGTCATGAGCATTTTCTCATGTATGGATTCATCACTTATGAGTTAATCATTTGACTTTTAATATAATATAATATATATTCAATCCAGTAACGCCAGTAATTACTCTCTTCTGAATGTGTGGAAAATTTAATTCGTTGCGTAGAATTTAATTTACTTGCAATAACAATAAGAGCTTTTATAATTTGGGGTGAAGATTATTGCTGTGAGGAATTAGTGATTCTGGATATTTGCAAATAGGGCTTGACAACATAGATAGATAGATAGATAGATAGATAGATAGATAGATAGATAGATAGTCATAGAAATATAGATACATAAAAAGAATAATCTATATATATATATATATATATATATATATAAAGAGATATGAACAGACTTAGATAAATAGAGACAGAGAGAGAAATATGAATAGGCTTAGATAGATAGATAGATAGATATGGGAACAGAATGCCAAGGACATAACTTTACCTGTACAGGTTTATTTTTTCTGAATATCAAAATGCAGAATTAAATTATACATTGCCAATAAAAGCCTTATTGTCCTCCAGAACTGATCTCCTGTCAAAATGGCGCCGGACACAGCGGTGATTGGAGGGAAAATGCTTTAAATGGGTAAACATTTTTTTTTTTTTGTGTGTGTGTGTCATTGTTTCAATCTATCTATCTATCTATCTATCTATCTATCTATCTATCTATCCCAGACTCCGTTTCTCTTAATTTTAGCATTTTCACTCGTCCATGTTTATCGCAACCTTTTTATTTAGCGCTAATTACGACTAATTACATGGTTTCATCAAGCCACTTACACCAGCATTTCGAATGTATTTCAAACCGCTAATTATGTCTTGCCGTTTTGCTGGGTTTTTTTTTTTTTTTTTCAGAAATAAAAAGAAAATGACGCCCCTGTCACTTTTTAATCGATCTGTCTATTTATATCTAATTTTAAGTACTTATCTGAGGCATTTAATGCGTACGCCATTCCAAGACAAATGTTAACTCTTTCTCTTCCAGATCCGATTTCACGATCTTGTTCCCACAAGTAATTTTATTGTCTATCAATTAAATAAATCCATTCCACAGACGCTCGGGGATCGATATTTCTCAATATGGCTTTTGTCATAATCACCTGAGAAATATAGATTTTTGCGGGGATTTTCTCTTTTTTTAATAGGAAAATGAATCAACTGAAATTTTTTGTCATAATAAAAGAAAAAAAATGTTTTAATGATAATTATAAGATTATAGCGTAATCAACGACAATAACGTTATTTATTGTCAGTGAAAACGTTATTATGATTGATAATATTAGAGAAACGAAAGACTTTTCTGAAACAAAACATGTGGGTCTAATGTAGTGTTTCTCAACCTTTTTAAGCAATGACACACGTAGGAGCAAATGAAAAGATCACGGAACACTTAGCAAAATTTTTAAAGAGTATATATTTAAATGTTATGAAATAATAAAACGATAAATTCTTTTTAAATTCCCACATAAGTATGAACTTACTTTATTTCAACGTTTCTATTAAACTATTTGTGCAGTTTATTTAGTGTATAACATGTGCCTGGTGTTTTTTCGTGATTTCTTCAATGTTTGGTCAAAGGTGCGATAAGTAGACGTCATTTCCTCTTTAGTTGAAAGTGATTTTTCTCGCAATAAAACTGATAAAGTCTTTTTAGCTGTGGGATATTCCTTGAAATCCAAAATGTATCAATCGTTACCGTCGAATGTTTTATTTTGTGCCCCCGATCACTACAAATGGTAGCTAATTCTTCTTCTTCACATAACTGAAGTCCAACACGTATTTTTATGTGTGCCGTGACAATATTTCAAGACACAGTTAAGACGATCACGCGGCGAACTAGTGTACCGCAGCCCGGCCGTTAAGAATTATTATTCTAGACAAAGGTTGGGCAATAACTTGTTTCTGGAACGAGAAACCTCTTCATGTATTTTTATTTTCTGTTCCTTAAAGATTGGGTAGAATGTCACGATCTTCAGCCAAGAAACGATGTTATTCAAATGAAGAGGATATTAGAGAATTTAAAGAATTCAGGACTAAAAAGTTTGGTATGATTAAGAAAAAAAGCAACAAGCGTTATGCCTTTTCTGTTCCGAAACAATCGTTTTTAGGACTTCTTCTGTAAAGAGACATTTTGAAAATGTTCATTAGAACTCAAATAAAACTGAGGAGGAATAAAGAGAATTAATTTCTCGAGAACTGAGCAAGACAAAAAAAAAAAAAAAAAAAACAGGTTGATATTCTTATTGTTGTGGATTCCGGGAATGGAATCCTGCACAAATCAATAAACGACGCCAGAAATTGAGATAGAAAAATAATTGTATTAAACGTAAGAATACAGACTTGAAGTGAAGATTAGTAGTCCAGGAATGCGGGTTACTAGAAAGTATATGTACAAATCTTTGTAAGTAAAGCCGTAATCTCTCTCTCTCTCTCTCTCTCTCTCTCTCTCTCTGTGTGTGTGTGTGTGTGTGTGTGTGTGTGTGTGTGTGTGTGTGTGTGTGTGTGTGTGTGTAAGTATAAGTATACTTTGGACAAGTCCATCTTATATAAAAAGGGGAGAGCCCCACAACACTTATGAACTTTATTTCGGGTAGACCCACTTCCAACTTAGCTGCTGCTAGTTTTGAAGTTTCAAAATTTATTGCCTAACACTGAAAGCCACTCAGTGAGGGAGAGTATATTAAAGAAGCTTGGCTAGAATGTGTCACTCGCCTTTCTGACAACTTTTCAGAAAAGGAAGAGATTATTCAGCACATAAAACGATTTGTCTGTGAGAAGTAAAATATTTAAGGAGAGGATGCTTAAGTTGGAAAGGAATAGAGCTGAACAACTGACAAAAGATTTGTCTATATTTCTGAGATGAGGTATTATGTACACTATTTACATTATTCGGACTATTGTCCTCATCTTTGTTGCTATATTTATTACAACGTTTCGGCCTTTCAGTATCTGTCTATATTTCTGAGATGAGGTATTATATACACTATTTACATTATTCGGACTATTGTCCTCATTTTTGTCGCCATATTTATTACAACGTTTCGGCCGTTGTACGCTCCGGCCTTCTTCAGGTGACTGGAATGTCAAACTGAACCCTTTATTTCGCTCACTGGGGTAGACAGTTCAAGTTCCACGTGCTATGTTTAATGGATGTCAGTTATCAGTTATCGGTTAAGGCAGTGGAGAACTTGGAGAGCGGAATTAATAGGAGATATGGTTAATATCAGACATTCTCAAGACATGACATATATATATATATATATATATATATATATATATATATATATATATAATTTATCCGAAAATTATAACATAAATATGTTATAAAATCACAACAAAAATAGCCATTTTGTTTCAACACTTCTGGTGTCTTATCAAGTGATAGTGTTGAATAGACTAAGATAGATAGATAGATAGATAGATAGATAGATAGATAGATAGATAGGAATGTTCTCAGATAGATACGAACATAGAGAAAGAGATAGAGAATGAAATGAAAATAGATAGATAGATAGATCAGATAAAAATATAGATGAACAGACTAAGATAGATAGATAGATAGATAGATAGATCAGACAAAAATATAGATGAACAGACTAAGATAGATAGATAGATAGATAGATAGATCAGACAAAAGTAGATATGAACAGACTAAGATAGATAGATAGATAGATAGATAGATAGATAGATAGATAGATAGATAGATGATAGGAATGTTTTCAGATATATAAGAACATAGATAGAGACAGAGAGAGGTAATGAAATGAAATGATAAATAGATAGGTAGATAGATAGATAGAATATTCCCAGATATATAACAACAAAATTGATAAATAGAATGATAGATAGCTTGTGTTCTGCATGAAACAACAATTCGTGTTATTGCTGAGGAATAATATTTATATTTACTGATAACTCTGTTTTATTAGATCAAGCACTATTTTGTCTCAGAATTGACTTTGTTAGTCCGTCCGTCGATCATACCCTATAAATTAGATATACATTGACCGATGAAAACTAAATTTGGGGCTGAAATGCAAACAGCTAACGGGGTGAGTACAAAACACAGTTCGTTTTACTAGTGTAACAAATAATAAATCCTCATTAATTTGTTTGGAAAAATTAGGAATACAAAAATACTCCCACTATTTTAAAAACAATTTAATGATTAAAATAACAAAGACTTATTTAATAAAAATGCAATATTGTTCTTTGTATATCTTTTCTTTATGTTTTTATATAGACAAGAATTCAGTTTCCAGTTTGTCCTGCATTTGCGGGAACTATAAACAAATCACAAGACAAAACATTTTTAAAAAGTTGGAATCTGGCTCCGAAAAGAAATATTTACGCATGGCCAGTTGTATGTTGCATGCTCAAGAGTAAGAAATCCTAAGATTTTATTCTTCGCTGTTAAAAAGAAAAAAAAACAGAAATTTTCTTAAAAAGTATTGTCCTATAAAATTAAATTAAATTAAAGAAATAATTAATCCACGAATTAGGTGTTTTGTCAAAGTATTTTTCCAAACAAATCAGCTTATCCCAATGTCATTGATTGGTTTGAGAAACTGATCGAAACGTAGAGTTTGTAAATCTTGTCAAAAAATGTTAGCGATAACTTCAACAATACTAAATACTGTGAGGATTTTGACACGCGTCTACCCGTTGCAAAAAAAAAATCTAATACGAGAAAAAACACTGTTCAGGAGAGAGAACAATAAAAGAACAGGAATTAAGAATACAGAAGATAACGATTGACATTGCATTTAAATTTTTGAAGATCAATGTTGACTGGAAAACAAAAAACCTGAAGATAATTCTACAAGCAAGAAGTGCGAGAAAAGAAAATGTTAACATAGAACTTATAGTTATATCTATCCATTTCTACTGTAAAATGGGGAGACCTTGCCACGAATTTCGTACTGCGCTTAAATCTATAAAGTCTATGTACGATTGAAAAGATTACCATGGAAGTATTTATAGAAAACGGAAGCTACATTACGGTGGTGGAAAAGTGACAGGTCACGACCAATGACATTGCAGATACTTGGATTTTATCAAGAATCTTTAAATATATAGCAGGAGCACCAGACCAGATATGGCAGTAATATTCAAAGCAAGGACGGACGGTAGACTTATAAATACGTAAGACAGATTCTGGCGAAAAATATTGTCTAGCACGACGCATTGAACCAATTTTCCCAACAGCAGCCCTAAAATTTGATTCAATATAATCTTTTCACTTCAAGATAGATAGATAGATAGATAGATAGATAGATAGATAGATAGATAGATAGATAGATAGATAGGAATGTTCTCAGATAGATACGAACATAGATAGAGAAAGAGATAGAGAATGAAATGAAATGATAGATAGATAGATAGATAGATAGATAGATAGATAGATAGATAGATGGATAGATATGAATATTCCCAGATTTGATAACAACAAAAATTGAAATATGGAAGGATAGATAGAATGAAATGATAGCTAGCTAGCTAGTTAGCTAGATAGATTACATACATAGGAATGTTTTCAGATATATAAGAACATAGATAAAGAGAGAGGTAATGAAATGAAATGATAAATAGATAGGTAGATAGATAGATATGAATATTCCCAGATAGATAACAACAAAAATTGATAAATAGAATGATAGATAGAATGAAATGATAGAAAGCTAGCTAGCTAGATGAATAGATAGATAGATAGATAGATAGATAGATAGATAGATAGATCAGAAACAGACTAAGATAGATTGATAGATAGATAGATAGATCTTGAAGTTGTTTCGTATCGGAGAGTGCATATTCTGTAATTGAAAGCAAAATGGTTCCATTCAGTGCCGCACTTTTAGCACAAAGCAATTAAGCGTTTAATAAGATCCTTGAAAAAAAATGTCCTCTCACGCCGCTTAACAAATTGAAATGTTTTGTCGCCATCTCCTTCCTGCGAAAAAAATGTTTTCTTTCGACAATCAAAATTGCACATATTTTGCACCTTAAGAAAAACTTCAGTGTGTTAATAGTTGCTCAGAGTGAAATTGAGAGTTTTAAAAACCACATTTAATTGCACTCTATTTGAGTGCCATTTTCCTGAAGGCAAGTCTTAAATGTCGCCCGGAGAAAACAATCATACATTTGTAAACAAGCTTAGGAAAATATATTCGAGTTAAAGTTCATAACTCAATGTTAGGGAAATCCTTGAAGTGTCTTTGAAGTTTACTATGCTCATTATAGCATTGTCTTAGAGTATATTTTACACCAGTTTCTTGCGGGTAGAGTTGTAACTCTTTCTGATGAAGTTTTTCAAACTAAATGAATTAAGCTTTTTTAAAAGAAATAAATTTCAACATGTAGGTAAATTTTACTTATATATATTTTTATAGATTATTGAATTAAAAATAATATAATTCATAATTATCGGAGGTCAACTTAGAGTTTCGTGATTTCTCTCCCATTAAAACTCGGATAAGAATGGCTGTATCAATTACAATACATTTTTCTATAATTAATACAATCATCTTCATATGAGTTTAGCAATTTAATCTAGTATATTTTATAATAACAGTTTTGGTCAAGTATATATCCAAATGAGAGAAAGAACAGATGGGGTAAAAATTTCGTAGCATTTATTTTTTAAAAAGTGCTCAATCCAAAGTAGTGCAAAATATTATTATTATATTTTTATTATAATAAAGTACAATAAAAACATTTTACATCGCTACACAAAAACTTTCATGTTTCGGTAATAATTTGGTACCTCTTCAGGCGATGGTAGTTAACTAATGATAAAAAGGATTGAGTGAATTGAGGAATTCAGAGTTATTTCTTCAAAATTGCCATAATTTTTTTATAAGCTGGACGAGAGGTCCTTTTAATTTTGCACCGGAGGCCCAGATACCTCTCCGAAGTAGCTTGCTTAAAGGTCCTTACGGGACGCGGCTTTTAAGCTATTTTATCATAAGATAAACAAATTTGGGGTTCTGGTTAATGAAAGTTTACAGGTTGATCGTTATATTTATTGAAATACTTTTACATATATGTACAGTTCACTATCGCCACCAGAGTCTTTAATCTCTTCTCAAATAAAATGTATGACATCTTCACCTTCTTCACTGAAATTATTATCATAAATTCTGGCGCACTTGTGTATCAGATACGGGAATCGTTGCTCTCCAATATTCACATTACAACCAAAAACGTTAACAGTTTCTCTCTTCTTTTTAATATATAGATTTTTCTCTTGTTGCAACAATTACAAACTTCTCCATATATATATATATATATATATATAGAGAGAGAGAGAGAGAGAGAGGGAGAGAGAGAGAGAGAGAAATGAATAAAACACCAAAAGTAAAATGGAAAATAATAAATCGAAGAAGAAAATATAAAACCTGGGAAGACCCATGCCCTTCATGTCTACATGAAAAAATACACATTATTAAGTTTCTAAATAATGAAAATTTATTAAACCATAGACATGCGTTAACGGTTTTTTGCTGACATCAACAAATTTTCGCATTAAATAATTAGCATTAAAAAAAATTTAAATTTCATAGTTTAATAAAAGTTTTAAAAGCTTAACCCAGTCATAAGATAGAAAAACCCTTTATGAAATCTTCAAAAAACCAAATTGTAGTTCAGTGCGACGGGTTTATAAACGAAACAGCCTTTTTGGAAAAAAAAAAAATAAATGAATGAATAATAAAAAATAAAATTCTTTAGACACTTCCTAACGTATTATGGTGCCAACAGCTATATTTCGCTGTGACTGACCAGACGATGTGCATACATTAATGCCATCATTCGCTTTGAAATGGACACCCCGATCCTACCTCGTCTTGATCTCTGTCCGTAGGTGACTGATATGTGGATAAAAATTAATTTTTATGCCCCTTATCAAGATGGTCGCTCTAGCCGTTTCCATAGTAACTGATTTTGCGAATGAACATGCTTATAAAGATGCGTAAATTTCAAGATTAGTTATTCCTAAGTTTTCGCTTGAGGATGAAACAGGGCTTGATACTTTAATTCAATTTAATTTCAATAATTATATTAAGGTTTCGGATCTTGTGTTTGAAACATGAGAACTCTTATGTAACGAAGGAATCATATTTTTCAAAAAATAATTATTATTTAAGCTCTACTTCTGTATGGAGCACTGTTTTTTTTTTTTAAATAAAAACAAAAATACTAAAGAACTCCGGATTATTTTTCAACGTGTTCTTTCCTATTTTTTACATATCTACACACACAGACACGCACACACGCACACACGCACACACACACAGACACACGCACATATACACAGACACAATGAACACACATACATACATAAGCACACACACACACACACACACACACACACACACACACACACACACACACACACACACACACACACACATATATATATATATATATATATATTGTAATATTTTTATAATAAATTACAATAAAAAATTTTTACATCGTTACGCAAAAACTTTCATGTTTCGGTAATAAATTGGTACCTCTTCAGGCAATGGTAGATAACTAATGATAAAAAGGATTCATTAGGGAAATTAAAAAAAGAACAAATCTTTACCTCTTTTCGTAAGTTAAATTAAATGTTATTTCTGACCCCCCCCAGACAATTTAACTACTACGAATTGCAAATGCTAAAACTTATTAAGTACAAAAATTTCACTATCTAACAAATGTTTTAACATAGAACGGAAAATGTGACACAGAAATCCGAAGTAACATTGGAATAACGAAAGCTGCCTTCCAAACGTTAAGAAAAGAATTGCGAAAGAGGAAAATTTCGTTACAAACAAAGGAAAGAGTAATAGACTGATAAGTAATATCGGTCTCCCTATATGGCAGTGAGTACTGGACAATCTTCTCACAGATGAAGAAGAGACCTGAGGCATTAAAACTGTGGCCGTCGAGAAGGATTCTGGACATGTGATTAAGAAAGACATTTCAGACAGTAAACGGACGCGTATAAATCAAATCTGAAAGAAACAGTTGAAATTTCTGGGTGGCATAATAAGGAAAGAAGGTTTGGAAAATTTAACACTCAGGGGGGAAGTGGAAGACAAGAGAGACAGAGGAAACTACCGGAAGAGCTTGTTTAGATGGTTGGCAGAATAGGAGAGATAGCAAAAAGACAAATATTGCTAAGAGCTACAAGGCGAAGGAAGTTGTGGAGAACCATATTCAGCCAAGTCTTGAAGGGTCACGACATATAGAAGAAGAATGTATATAATAATATATATGATGATATAATATAAAAAATGTAGAGTAATTGGACATGGTTAAATGTGAATAAATGGCAGAAGTGCCTAACAAACAGAATTGACAAAGTTTGCAATAAACAATAGCAAAAAGAAAAAAAGAACAGGGCAAAAAATAATCCAAAGCAAGCAAACAATATATGCAAGGCAACAGTAATAAGACAAATCAACAGTAATATGGCAAAAAGTTCACAATCTAAGAATTGATGTTGACATACAAAAGCAAGTTCGGATAAGCGAGCATAGCGTCATGACTGCAAAACAAGACAGACCGGAACTGAGTCATATGAAATTGAGAACTGGTCTATTTTATTGACGAGGTAGAAATCTCAATATGCATTAATATGCTCCTGCCTATAAATTGGTGAGGGACAAGTGTTTTGCAGTAATTCCCAGTGAGATTGAAACCAATATGATATATATAATATAATGTCGATTCCTGTCGGAGGACGAATATTTTCTATGAAAATTTCTCGGACATTCAGACCGGTAAATGTTGTTAATACTGTTTATTATAAATAGAGTATTTACTAAAATATTTCTATCTATAAAAAGAACGTATAAACAAACATAAAAATGTCTTAAAATAATTGTCGGACTTTGTCCATTTCATAATGTGTGCCATCATTTGTTTACATCTGGATACGCATCGAGCAGATATGAATGTATGTGGAGAATTGTAGTTTAAAAACAGTAAAATCACTCAGACACCTTTCTCTATTAAGAGATTGTCTTCTTTCAACTTCTTCTTGAAATAGGCATTGTCATCGCCGTCTTTGTCGTTCTGTTGCTAATCTTTTTCTTTCTTGTAAATAATTACAATACCTCATCTGAGAAATAGAGACAGATGTTGAAGGTGAATATGGCAACAAAGATGAGGACAACAGTCTGAACAATGTAAATAGTGTAAATAATTACAATTCCTCATTTGAGAAATAGAGACAGATGTTGAAGGTGAATATGGCAACAAAGATGAGGACAACAGTCCGAACAATGTAAATAGTGTAAATAATTACAATACCTCATCTCAGAAATAGAGATAGATGTTGAAAGTGAATATGGCAACAAAGATGAGGACAACAGTCCGAACAATGTAAGTAGTGTAAATAATTACAATACCTCATCTCAGAAATAGAGACAGATGTTGAAGGTGAATATGGCAACAAAGATGAGGACAACAGTCCGAACAATGTAAATAGTGTAAATAATTAAAATACCTCGTCTCAGAAATAGAGACAGATGTTGAAGGTGAATATGGCAACAAAGATGAGGACAACAGTCCGAACAATGTAAATAGTGTAAATAATTAAAATACCTCGTCTCAGAAATAGAGACAGATGTTGAAGGTGAATATGGCAACAAAGATGAGGACAACAGTCCGAACAATGTAAATAGTGTAAATAATTACAATACCTCGTCTCAGAAATAGAGACAGATGTTGAAGGTGAATATGGCAACAAAGATGAGGACAACAGTCCGAACAATGTAAATAGTGTAAATAATTACAATACCTCGTCTCAGAAATA